GAAAGGGGGAACCGATTACAAGGATCTACATGTGACCTCCTCCCTGGGGGACGGACAATGGAAAAGTGGGTGAAGGGAGATATGACAAAATAATAATTAGTAAATTATCCAGGGTTCGGGAGGGAGGGGGTAGTGCGGAGGGAAGCGAAAAAATGAGGACCTGATGCCAGGGGCTTAAGTGGAGAGCAAATGTTTTTAGAATGATGAGGGTAATGAATGTATAAATGTGCTTTACACAATCGACATATGTATGGATTGTGACAAGAGTTGTATGAGCCCCTAATAAAATGATTTTTTTTAAGTTATAGCATCTGGGGTCTTAAAGACTTGAAGATAAACAAGCAGCCATCTAGCTCAGAAGCAACAAAGCCCACATGGAAGAAGCACACCAGCCTGTGTGATCAGGTCTCAATGGGATCAGGTATCAGCATCAAAGAACAAAAAATCAAATCATTATGAATGAGGGGGAGTGCAGATTAGGGACCCAAGACCCATCTGTAGGCAACTGGACATCCCCTTACAGAAGGGCCATGGGAAGGAGACAAGCCAAAGAGGTTCAGTGTAGTAACGACAAAACATACAACTTTCCTCTAGTTCCTAAATGCTTCCTCCCCCCACTATCATGATCCCAATTCTACCTTACAAATCTGGCTAGACCAGAGTGTGGGGGGAGGTCAGATGCTTGCATCCTCCCTGAAGTCAATCGCTGCCAGACTTCTGTCTTGCCCCACCACAGTGGTGGGCCTACTCCCTGATGCTGGAGACAATGGATTGCTTCTCCCTAAGACTTGCGACCATTAGCTTGGTTCCTGTAGGAGGAGTTTGCACCTTACTGATAATGGTATCTATCAGTTGAGCCAGGAACAAGTCAAACCCGGCTCTGTGACATCCAAAGTTAAGCTGCCATCCTAATTCTAGGATCCGCTCATCTTGTCACATGTATACCCCCTAATCCCTCCTCTTCCTATTGTGTGTATGTCCCTAAACCACCTCCTCATTACTGTGTAACCTATAGTGCAACCCCTTCCTGTGACATCTGACTTTACCTGTAATAAGTGGGCTTGCATGCCCGTAGAAGGTATATAGGCAATAGA